AATGATTTGTTTTAAGTTGCGATCAATCAAACAGAAATTGGCAACACTGTGACGTTTCATGCGAGCTCCACTCAAATTTGCTCTGTAGGCCTATAAATACGTAAAATTTCATAAACTTTCAAATACTTCGTTATTGATGACGGAAAAGATTTATTTTAAGAAGTATGGATTGCCTCTAGATGAACTTTTTACTAAACGATACATTCGTTCGATTTTAGATTACGGGGTACCGGTTTTCTATGGTAATTTAACCAAAAAAATCATGTATATACTTTAGAACGTATTCAGTAACGAGCTTGCAAAATCATTTTAGGACGTCAGTATATGAAAGTTATGAAGTAGCATTGGAAACGTGCAACTTACGTTCATTATGGGCAAGACGTGAGCAGTTATGTATAGCAGTTATGCACTTGCCAAACACCCACAATTTAAAGCTTATCTGCCGTAGTTTACAGGAGGGATTAGAGCACCCTGCAAGGTCACTGGACAGGTGGTTATCTCATCAACTCAGCTCTCAGTTAACATAAGAAAAAGAGGATCATGGGGGACCAATGGTCACCGATTAGGCACTGTTTGTTATTATAGACGGCGCAAGTAGCTACAAGTAGTGCAGTGGGCCTTTAAAGAATGTTTACCTCTTAGATAAAAAAACACTTATTCTCTAAGATCTCAATCAAAGTTTAAACTATACCAATGTAAAACAAAACACTTCCAGTGCAACTGTCTTCCTTACTTTGTACATCTTCTTAACAAAATGTAATATTGATATAAATTATATTTTTAGAATTTCAGTCCATGATTGAACTATGTGAATAACTTTTGATAATTTTTATCTCGATTTTCTGCATTGCTAAATGTTTCTTGCCTTCTTCCCTCATATATAATGATAAGGTACCCCTTTTCTGTCTCTTCCCCTTCATCTTTCTCTTTCTCTCTCTCTCTCCTTCTCTCTCTCTCATCACTCCAACTCTTCCTCTTCTACACCTCTCCCCTTCTCTTTCGTTTTTAACAAAAATTTGAATTTGATCAATAAATTTTTATGAAATGTCTATATATTATGTTTGATTTTTGATTAATGTCATATTTTGTGTTATTTCAGTATGAATTGCAATTGTATTGTATCTTTGTGAAATGGATCTTAATTTAGCCATTGGCTGTGATGATATTTTAATAAACCATTTATATCTATCTATTTGTATAGAGATATATTTGCAATAGTTATATTTAGGGTGTATGTGTTACGGGATTCTAAAAATGGACAAAATGAGAACGAAGTAAACAGACTGTTGGGTGTAGCATCAGCTAAAACGATGTGATCTTTATAATAAAATACGATAGTTCAACAACAAACTAATATGTGAATTTACAATGTAATGAACAAGGTTTACAATATACATGCACATGCATGGCAATGTCAAAAAGGCATTTTCAATACTTTAGTCTGTTTTCCTTTGGCACTGAAATATTTGGCATGTGACTTTGAATCCTCATATTATCTTCTATTGTTCTCGATTAAATACTTTGAATATAAAAACTATATTTATAACCAACTGCGATCAAGTCCTTATTTCAGTTTTATTTACATCAACTACACTGTTGCTTATAAAGTTGGAATATTTATTTTTTACCCCAATTTATGGAATTATTTTGACAAAGATTTATTCCTAATAGATCTAGATAATAGTATACATTCTCAAATTTTATTGGATAATAATTTGCCAGTGTTTGTTTTGCGTGACGGCTAAAGCATGAGTATGCTACTATGCTTATCAACTAGGGGACCTACGCCCTTAAGTCATAAACGACAGTGATGAGGATCAATGCCCCACAAAAGGGCACTAATTTAGCACATCGACACGTTTTTTTTATTTTGGGGACCGGGTAAAATGCCATGAATTATTGATAATTGATTGCATTTTCTTTCTTTTTTTGTTTATTTGTGGAAATAAAAATTATTTATGTACAAAAAAAAGAGTGTAGCTGGAATTTATACAGTAAAGCACACAGGGGCGGTCGAGCGACTTCCAAAGTGGGGGGGGGGGCACCAACAAAAAAGGGCACTTTCTGAAGAAAAAAGGGCACCTACAGTGGGAAATCTCAAAGCGAAAATATACTATTTTTTAGACATTGGTACATACCCCTGCATTGTGATTACATTATCAGGGATGATTTCAATATTTGTTTCTCTTCATACATCATACAAGATATCGCTTAAGCATCATACTTTACAGTTGGGTGGGATGTCTGAATATGCATTTACGAGCGAGCGAAGCGAGCGAGAAAAATTTTAAAGATCTGCGAGGTCACAGTGCGAAAAATTACATCTTATAAAGAGGAAAAAAGCCAATCGTGATGGGGTTATAAGCACATTCTCTTAACGGAAGACTGAAAAGACCTTTGATAACTAACATAATTATATCATCTTTAAATGCGAGCGAGCGCAGCGAGCGAACTTTGGGGGAAATTGCTCTTAGTCGCTTTAAATAAGGGGCATGTTTAATGATTTCAAAGGGGACAATTATCGAAAGGGATAAGACACTTATTAGAAAAGAAAAGGAGCACGTGTCAAAGTACAAAGGATAATTATAAGAGGTGAACATGAGGCATTTTTTTCACCTGAAAAGAGGCACTCACCTGATGAAAAAGAGGCGTTTACGAAAATGGGAAATAGGCAATTGTTGACGGAAAAAGGGCACCCATCAGATTTTGATAGGGGCATTTATAAGAGGTGAAAAGGAGACAGGTCCCTTATTAGAAAGGAAAAGGGGCACGTATCATTATTAAAAAGGGAATTATCAGAGGTGAAAAGAGGCACTGACCAAATATGAAAAGGGGCACTTATGAAAATGTAAAAGGGGCACTTATAATAAAGGAAAATGTGCATTTGTTGAATGAAAAGGGGGCACCGTTCAAATTTTAAAAAAGGGCCGTTATGAGAAGGGGAGGGAGCTTTTTCTTTTTAATGGGGGCACTTATCATAAGGAAAAGGGGCACTTATTAGAAAGGGAAAGCGGTAGTTATGAGAAGGGGAAGGAGCTCTCTCTTTTTAATGGGGGCACTTATCATAAGGAAAAGGGGCACTTATTAGAAGAAAAAAAGGGGCACATGTTAAAATTAAAGGTGTGCTCATCCGAGTTTAAAAAAGGGGTAGTTATTAAAAGGAGAAGGGGGCACTTCTTACAAAGGAAAAAAGGGGCAGTTGTCAAAGTAAAAGGAGCACCTCTCAGTTTTGAATAGGGCAATTATCAGAGGTGAAGGGGGCACTTATCAAAAGTGAAAAGGGGCACTTCTCGTACCTGAAAAGAGGCACTTACTAGAGATTAAAAAGGGCACTTATTAAAGATAATTTCAAGATTTATGAGAATGGAAAATGGACACTTATTGCAAAGGAAAATGGGGACATGTCGAAGGAAAAGGGGCACGTGTCAAAAATAAAAAGGGCACTCGTCAGAGGTGAAAAGGGGGAAGGGGCACTTTTATTTAGTAATAGGGGCACTTGTCAAAGTAAAAGGGGCACTTTTCCTATGTAAAAGGGGCACTTCTTACAAAATAAAAGGGGCACTTTTCCTATGTAAAAAGGGGCACTTTTGGGGTATCTGAAAAAGTGGGGGGGGGGGCACTGTGCCCCCCTGCCCCCCCGGGAGAACCGCCTCTGAAAGCACATGATTACAAATGGTACTTGGAAAGATTTGATTCTGTTAAATAGTAAAGTTGGTATTAATCAATTATTATTTGAGTACTAATACACAAAATAGAAGAAATGTTTTCCATGCTATTGGTTAAATAAATTATGCATTTGAAAGGATGTTTTTGTATTTTTTGTATTTATTAACAATTTTATCCTTCTCAACAGTACAATATGAAACACAATTTTATTATAAAAATGATTTCAACATAGAGTATACAAAAAAAAATTCAGATAATAATTTGCATATTAGGAAAAAAATAATTATACCATCTTGTTCCTTATGTAAATATATCTACACACATGCAAATTTCATCGGACATTCGACAGCCGAGATCATAAGGGGTGGGGGGCCGGGGGCCTCCCAGGCCCCCCCCCCCCCCCAGTCACTGAGGTGCTCAAAATAGCCCAGTATAGTAAGGGTTTAAAAAAAATAATGTCAAGTGTGTGTACAGCAATTTATTTGACTGCCCCCACACCATCCCCTCCCCCTCCGCCCAGACTCTCGACTGGGATGATTAATACAGTACAATATATTTTGGTGATATTCAATATTTTTTTCGCGGGAGCCAGGAACTTGAAGCAAAATTGTTAACGGTTTCCAACAAAATTAAGGCGTCCCCGTCCCCTTAAACTGGCATTGCTCATCCTACTCTATTGCCTTTCTATAGCCAATGTAAAAAAAAAAAAAAAAATAGAAGGGGAAAAAATGGTTTACAGCTCTTCCATAATATTTCAAAGTTATAATCGGAAGACAACGTATGGTGCATTACAAAATTAATACAGGCCTTGGTGTCATTCTGTCTGTCCTGTCATTTATCTTCTAGTTTTCTTTATTTTCTATCTTTCTTTGCTTATTTCATCTTCCTTTTCATCTATCTTTCCCCCTTTCAATTTCCTTCTCTTTTTTATCAATTTCCATCTTTCTGTTTTTTTTTTGTTTTTGGTCGTGGAACGTGTTGTGTTGTTGTGTTTTGTTTTTGTTTTGTTTTGTTTGTTTTTGTTTGTTTTTGTTTTTGTTTTGTTTTGTTTGTTTGTTTGTTTGTTTGTTTGTTTTTTTTTTTTTTTGGGGGGGGGGACGTGGGAGCAGTTCGATCACCACTAGCGCTCCCTCCTCCCCCCCCCCCCCCATTTTCGTACGCAATCAACACATTTTATTTGGTGGTTGTTCTTGTGCTCCCTGTGATAGAATCTCAAAAATATCACATTTTTATGATTTCGAGGTACGTAGCTCGAGCTTTGCGCCAGCTACGTGCGCAAAGTGCATCCGTATATCCGATTCTAATTGCGCATGCGTGGTTTACGTCAGCAAATGGTGAAATTCCCGTAAGAAAGATGTCGAGATGAGATGATGTTATTTCAATTTGCCGTGTGCCAGCCCAAGAGATAAATAATGGCACGCCATAGAAATATTCGAGGGCAGAACTATGATGAAGGTGAGTAAATCTTATTGCCGCCTATTTTTGTGCTTTTGAGAACTCTGATAATGTTCTGCTGATCGGCAGTTTTTTTCCCCTTGAAGTCCCACCTTATTGAAAGTCATGTCAGTATTCAAGTACAATGCAATGTCATGTGTAAATTGATGGGTGATTTCAAAGAAATTGAATAAAGAAAAGAAAAAAAACAACAACAACACCCAGATCGGCTGTGCAGTGAATGAGTGAGTATTTACTGTAAGCCGAGGCTATTATGCTGCCATCGGGGCGCTAGTGTAGCAAGGTATCCAAAATATAGCCTACTAAAACAGACCTCAAATTTCAGACCCCAAATTTCGTGTTTATCATTATCTCTAGGGTTAGGGTTAGGGTTAGGGTTAGGGTTAGGGTTAGGGTTAGGGTTAGGGTTAGGGTTAGGGTAATGATGACCACAAAATTTGGGGTCTGAAATTTGGGGTCTGTTTTAGTAGGCTATATTTTGGATACCTTGCTACACTAGCGCCTGATACCAAATAATGAAATTGCAGTTGACTTGCACTTGCATGCCATTGATTTGGATTTTGGGAAGCTGCCTGATTTTCTGCAAGGATTTTCAAAAAAATAAAAAGGAGAAGAAAAAGAAACCAAGCTGAAATTAAAAATGAAATCAGAAATGAAGATGATATTTATTTCAAACTTTTGTTTAGTTATTACTAGAGTAAAGGAGGGGGTAATCGACCATCACCGGTTTTCGGCCGATTCGTTGGCACGTTGAAGAATCCCCTATCCAACTCAGTGAACGGAAATACGCGTCGCTGATTGGCTGATCGCACGACCCTCGCTTGTCTGCTAGCTGCGAGGCATGGGCGATTCGCTACACTGTGCGTGGTGTATTGTACCTGGTGCACTACACTCGACAGGCGAGCAGCCTGTTTTGTAGCGGCCGTGTTGCAGGAGCGTCCTAAACTCGAACACCAAGCAAAAAATGGCGACCAAAGACACATTCAGTGTATGTGGTTTCAACGATGTCGCTCTCTTCACACTCATGTGGCTCACATACAATTTGCACGTAGCTTTACACACACTTCAACCTACACATACATATCCTTTACAAAAACTTCCGACGAAATCTTAAAAAAAATGACTTACCGAAACAAAGAACCACCATACGATTTTGATGAAAGTACCTAGAAATATCGATGACACCGATGGCGAAAAAATTGTTCAAAAATCGAAGTCGGGATGGAAATATAACAAGTTTGTTATCAACGTAATCGAGAAGTCGCAGGCAGAAATAATCGCACTTAAAGGTTTAACATTGTGGGAAAATATGCAAATGAAATGAGTAAACACCCAATCAACTACGAGCATCGTGACGCTAGCACTTTGTGAATGAAAAATGACGTCAATGGAGCGAACAGAAGAGCGCATTGCGCATGCGCGAGCTTTGGGTGTAATTCTTCTTCGTGGTTGGATGCATGGTAAAATCCCTTTAAAATACATCGCATAACAGCATATCACGTATCCAACACATACCATACCATGCCAGAGTCACTGCAGAACCACATTTGCAATGGAAAATATATCCTAAAATATCACATTTTAGCGATGTAATCGGCGGTCTTGCTACCCGAATCTGAAAAATCAAGTATCTTACACATGTCTGTAAGAAATATGGGTCAGGGTTCTTGTTAATAGCCGGCAACCGGCTATTTTTTCCGGCTGTAACGGCAATCGTAGCCGGCTGTAAGCCTCTCCAAAAAAAAAAATTAATAATACAAAAATCACATCATATTCGGTCAAGTCGCTATCTCAAATTTCTGTTATCACAAGCTTCACGAAGACACGCTTTCATAGCGCGGGGTTGTGAAAACGGTCGTAAAGAAATGAGATGAAACGTCTCCGAAACGATCGTAAAATAAAACCCTATTAAAATATGGACTTGCGGCGCGGCGCACGCGGGGGCAGAGCTATCTAGTATATGCCCAGTGCGCCAGAGCCAAGCGCAGGCCGGCAAGCTAGCTTACGCAAGAAAAGCGCGCGTTGTGAGCCGAGCTGAGCTAGCTGAGGGAGGGGTGTATTATTAAAGATGAAGTTGAGTTCTGGTCATGCGATTGCATTGTGAAAGAAACGGTGTGGAACCGACCAGAAAAGGTTGATCATCTAGCATATTAGAATTTGTGTGTATTGCAAGGTTCTGGAATCATCAAAATGATAAGAAATGTGGCCAAGTCTTGGTAAAGTTACAAACACTTGCACAGAAAGATGTATATGGGACTACACGAACACGTGGCGTAAAAAGCCGGCCCCCCAATTTTTACGATGTTACATGCATATGTGACCCGGCACCACAAAACCAACAAAAAGTCGCAAAAAATTATTTTCCTGATTTCATCTGATTATGAAAGAAGAAGTTCTCCTCATTAAAATGGTATATTACTTGTCCAAATTGAAGCTTCCTAAGCCTTTCAATTTAGTGAATGAAAAGAGCTGGTAAGGGAGGTTACTGGTATTAAATTGTGAGAAAGAGAGCTTTAAAGTTTGGGGCTATTCAAGCATGCGGAGCAAGCAAACCACAGGGAAATCAATAGAAGGGTGAATCAAAAGGCCATAGCAACCACTATGAAGAGATTTTCAGATTAGGCTGAAATTTGGCCTGATGGTCAAACATAGTCTGTTCATTATGTTTCTGAGGTTTCAATGTGTGGACTTAGTCTTTCAAAAGTTATTATGTTGTAAATGCATAGAGTTGTAATTGGACAGATTAAGTGAACTGCAACATAGTGCCGAGACACCTGCACTAGACAATGCCTATTCATGGTGGACCCGGAGTCTTTTTGTTCCCCCTTACATAACACTGCTTGTCACCTATCTTGTTTTGTATACATCTGGGCAATTATTTGTAACCACATTATGAACTTGCTTTATACTTAATTCCCATACTGTTTTCTTTCTCACAGGAGGTTCAAAGTATTTTTACTATGACTTGCTCTTTCATTTCCAGTAGCCATCCTGATGATAATTAATGGAAGCAATTCATAAATACCAGCCAGAAAGTGGTATAAAAATAAAGAAAGGCAGGAGACACACAGTAAAGACACCAACATAGAATAACGAAAAATAGAAAGAATGAGAGAGAGAGAGGGAGAGAGACAGAGAGGGAAAAGAAGGGGGAGAATTATGATAGCTGTAAGCAAAATGATGATATCAAGAGTGTGAATGTGTGTTTACAATAAGAACTTGATTTCAAAACTCTTATGGGAGAATAAATTTGGAAGCACAGAAATGAAAACAAAATTATTTAGGGAATGTCACAACTCTTTCTCATCCTGTATCACAAGTTTAAAAATGCAACAACTCTCTCTCATCCTTTATCACAAGTTTGAAAATGCAACAACTCTTTCTCATCCTGTATCACAAGTTTAAAATGCAACAACTCTTTCTCATCCTTTATCACAAGTTTAAAAATGCAACAACTCTTTCTCATCCTTTATCACAAGTTTGAAAATGCAACAACTCTTTCTCATCCTTTATCACAAGTTTGAAAATGCAACAACTCTTTCTCATCCTGTATCATAAAATGCAACAACTCTTTCTCATCCTTTATCACAAGTTTAAAAATGCAACAACTCTTTCTCATCCTGTATCACAAGTTTAAAATGCAACAACTCTTTCTCATCATTTATCACAAGTTTGAAAATGCAACAACTCAAGCTACTCGAAGTCGTTAACGGAGAATATAAGACGAACGCAAATCTGGAACTCGGATGTGAAAGCGGATACAAACAAAATGGCGCGCCGCACTGATTGCTATAACGGACCAATCACAGCCCGCGTAGCACGACCCGTTAGCAACGACCGACCATTTCCGGACTACGATAATTTCGCTTGGGAAAAGTGATCAAATTTTGGAAGAGACCGAAGGCTGTGCGAAAAAAACTGGTCTAGAAATACCGTTTAAAACACATCTTCTACTATGTTTTAGACTTCCAAATTTTGATACTAGGTACAGAAAAGACCACTCTTTCAGAAAATGCAAAAAAACAAAAATCTATTTTTTTCACCTAAATTGACATTTTAGCTGATTACGGAGAATCGCTGGTTGCGACTTTTTGTTGGTTTTGTGGTGCCGGGTCACATATTTAGAATATGAAGGCATTTGAAGAGCCATGCTTTTCAGGGAACGTGTCTTAACTGATTTTCTTCCACACTTGCATAATAAGAATGAGTAATGCTCACAAATTATTTTTCACCTCTTCCCAGAACTCATCCTTCTCTTTAAGTGTAAATGTGACCATGAGGATTAACTGACTGTACTGAAGAATTAATCTTACAACTATTATGAAGCCCTTTGGCTACAGTAACAGTCTAACATTGGACTTAAGGTTTTATCAGAATGAGATATAGTCACTCTTCCTCGCTCCGTCTGTTTCAATATGTTCAGTCAATCATCCATGCAATCTTCATTATTGCTCAACAGATTGAGCAAACGATAATATCATATTCAGAGAGGAAAGTAACTGACAAAAACAACTTTGGAAAAGATGTTTAACCACGAGGAACATAACTTTTCTTTCAGAATCTTCCCAAAATATGATCATTTCATCCTTGCTCAATCTGTTTCAACGCATTTTTCAGTTTCCACGCAAATGGACATTCATCTTTGCTCAACCTATTTCAAAATAATGAATTCTCACTCAATGAAATCATTAAATTAAAAAAACTTAGCAGCATCTTCACCTCATCAAGAATTACACATTTGGAAACTTTTGGTGCAATAGAAAGTGTCGACGTGACTCACTGTTTTCATGAATGAAATCTTGCAAATGAAAGCTCAGTCGTAATAGCAGACGAAACGTGATTGAAATAGTCAAATACTTTTTTTTTTTTAAATTAATCAAATGACGTATTACTATATGACAGCCAACCCATGGAAGGCTAAATTACTTTCAGTTTACAATAAAAACATTTTGTGAAATAACATAAAACATAAACTGTAAGAAAAAAACACACAACAGTTT